AGGATTTTAAGCCAGACGGACTCGAACAAGACAGACCCTGCCCTCATGGGGTTCACAGTCCCAGTATGAGAGAAAGACCTCAGATGATAAAAAATGAGTGATTAGGGCTACGATGATTTTTATTTCCTGTTTTGGGGGCTTTGGAAACACAGAATATCATTTCATCTAGCCTAATGGATAGGAGGATTAGGGAAAGGTCTCAATTCAGGAGTTAGGTCTGAGATTTGAACCCAGGATGGAAGCCAAAATGTTTAGAACACTACTACTCAGATTTTTTTTTAAAGAAAGGTCTTTAGATTCACATTCTCTTTCTCTCTCTGCAGCACCCCAAGAGGGGTTCTTAGGGAGCTCTGCTGTCTGTATTGAATTTTACTCTAATGGCCTGCTCAGGACAAATTATTATCATAGTGGGGACTAAAATATTCATCAGAATGTTTGCTATATTCAGATGGCCTTGGTTTCAAAACATGGCTCTACCACTTAATGCTGTGTGGTCCTAAGCACATGACTTAGAATTTCTGAGCTTCCGTTTCTCTATCTGTAAAGTGAGGATATTGATATTCACTTCAGCAGGGCTTTTGGGAGAAGTAAGTGACATAATACATGTAAAATGCCTAGCACGGTGTTAGTAACTATTAGGAAATGCCCTCTACTTTCTCCGTGCCTGCTTCCTTGAAAAGACCCAACTCTGCCCCCAGAGAAAGCCTTTTCCTGGGAATGTGCCACCTAATTTTCTTATCCTTTCAACATTGGGAAGATATGTGTGTTGCGTGGTGAGGAAAGGACTTGAAGTTATCTGGTGTCCCTCCTCTTTTCTGTAATTTCTCATCTAAATGGAGAGGAACAGACCCGTTGTATTTCATTAATCAAGACTTGGAACTTAAACAGTGTTTGGTGCTTTTAGTAAAAAAGCCTGTTCCCCGCCCCCCCACCCCCGCCCCGATTTCCATGCCTCTTTAAGGAAAAAGAAGCAAAAAGACAAGAAAAAATTAGATTTTGTTATTGGAGAGTCCCTCTTCTAGGGGCTAGCCCGTGGTTAGAAGATGTTACGCCCTGTGCATACCCCACCTATTCCCCAAGATCTATCCTTGCCTGCCTCTCCATTGCATCTCATGGAGCCTGGCACAGTTCCCCATACTTAGTGGGTGCTCAGTAACATTTGTTAGAAGAATGAAGACATAGCCTAGGCTCTTGCTAGGCTAGAGATATTGCTATTTTCTACACATGCTCTGAATTTTCCGGCTTCCATGCTTTTGTTTATACTTAGAGTGCCTCTCCCAGTCATGGCCCTATGGACTCTGGGTTGGAGTTGTTGGTGCCTTGTCTTACTCCTCTTATAAGATAGTAGGCTCCTTGTAGGCATCAGCTTTGCATTCTTCATTTTTGAAGAAACATTGCATTTGGCACATCATACATTAACAGTTATTGAGCACTTGCTGTGGTTTCGTAAATGTGAGTTACATTTGCTTGCTTATTTAATACCTGTACACCTTTATGAGATGAGTACTGTTATTAGCCCCATTTAATAGATAAGAAGATTGCAGCTTTAAGAAATTGAATAACTTATATCACTGGGAGGTTTGTTGAACTCAATGGAATTAAAGTTGGTCTCTAAGACCTTTGGGGTCCACAGCCTCACCTACGGGACCTGCAGTCCCAAAGGATGTCTCTGGTGCTATGGAGAAGCTTCTCTGTTAGAGAGCAGTGCTGCCCACAGAACTGGACTTTGTGAAGTAGGAACATGGGCTGATAATATTTATCCTTCATTTCTAAAGAGTTTCTTAAGGATCTCAAAATGGACTAATATGTATTATCATGTTCAAGCTTCAAAACAACATTGAGACCTAGGTCAGGTGTTGTGGTCCCATTTTATGGATGATGAAGCCAAAGCCTGGAAAGAAGTGACTGTAAGAGGTGGAGCTAGGACTTGAACCCAGGTCTTCTGACTCTTAGCCAAGGCTTTTCACTACATTCTCCCTGAATATATTTTACAGTAAAGCAAAACAAATAAAAAAAATCTCCAAACAAACAAACAAGTGTTAAAGGTAGAAGCTGATTCTCAGGGAGGTATCTTCTGGGAGCAGAGTGGGTTCTTTCTAGGAAGTAGCTGGGAAGAGGGCTGACTTAAATATAAAGTCTTCTGGGGACCTCCTGTGTCCCAGGAAATCGAGTTAGCCAGAGCATCCTGTTCCTGTTTATTCTATCTTGTTGTTTCTTGAGAGTGGCTAGCAGAAAGGGGACTCTAGTCCCCTGACTCATGGGGCTCAGCCATATTTCCTCAGACTGAAGGGTGAAGGGAAGGAGTTTTCTTCTTTCTTGTCTTTCTTTGTATCTTCCTGTTCATGCTCTGCAAAGCTCCCGAGTCCCAGGGTGTCAGTGCTGGGTAAGAAGCTGCTGCCCATTAACTACCTTGTTGCCCCCACCCTGCCAGATGCTGCCTCCTGGGAGGATTTCTGGAGAGATTTCAGTGAGAGGTTCCAGATGGGCAAAGCAGCAGCCTGCTTCAGAAAGAAGGGACCTAGATTCCAATCCAGCAGTGCCCCACAGGGTGAGAGATGGAAAGGTATGGGGCGCTGACTACTTTCTTCCTTGATTTATCTTCGAGAATTTCTGGTTTGTTCACCAAGCCACCTAGAATATGCATCACTGTACTTCCGTTTTCTTCCTGTTCAAAATCAAAGCCCATCTGTACTTTTGGCTTTATGAGTTATGAGGAAGAATTTTTCACAGCCCAGAACTTTGCTCTCTCATCTCCTAATTTTCTCTTCACTCTTTTCACTCCTCCAAATGTCAGGTTTTTGGTCAACCAAAGATAAAGGTGGGAAGCCTGGGTGTGGTTCTGGGCCACAGGGATGTTGGTGTTCTTTTGCCTGACTCTCCTGCTGAGCTGAGCCTTGGCTGGCCCACAGAGCCTCCATGTCCTACACTTTGTCACTGTGTGGTGACTGCTTTTTCTCTGCACTATTTCTTAGGTGTTGCCAGCAGATGGGGGACTCTGGTCCAAAAACTTCTTGGACCAGAAAGAGCATGTAGGGAGAACCCTGTTACTTTCCCAGCCTCCAGGCCAAGAATGAATTCTCATCATCCAAAGAAGATAGTTCACTTGCTTTTATTTTAAAATCTTTAGGAATAGATACTTTAAAAATAATGCTATCTACTCTTAAATATTTCTATATTTAGGGAGCTCCTTTGAATGTCTAGCCTAAAATCTAAGCTTTAACTAAAGGCTTTTTCTTGCTGACATGTAGAGAGGCAAGACCAGCTTCTTACTTTAAGGCAGTTGCTTCCCTCCATAAAGGATCTGACTTTTAAATCTGTCTTGTTATGTACAAACATTTCTGAGCTTCAGGATGGACAAGCTTTAATTGCGGCTTCAGTGATGTCATTAGGCTGGTGGCGAGCAAGTGGGGAGCCCTTTTTTGTCCAGTGAAAAATGAAAAGATTGTTTATTACTTGATCTTTGAGAGTAAAATATTAACATTTAGGGAATCTGGATGAAGGGTATATGGGAATTCTTTGGATCTGAAATAATTTCAACATAAAAAGTTAAAAATGATTTTTGCAAGGAGTGATTTAAACCTTAAGTTCCTTGTTTGGTTTTTAAGAAGTTAATGAGTGTGAGAGAGGGGCTTAGCACACTCTGATTTTCCTTTTCATTATTCAGCTGCAGCAAAGTTGATATTTCAGCAGCCTCCCAGGGGTGGAGGGACTCTGAATCTCATTTGAGGGGTTGGCCAGACCAAGTTGGGGTAGCCCTCAGTGGGAACTGGGAAGTGTAGCCTGGAATTATCCAAGAAGCTACCAGGCCAGAGCGAGGCCATCAAAGAAGGAAGGGGGGAGGCCCGGAGCCTGGAGGGGAAGGAGCACAGATGCTCCTTGGGGCAATGGTGCAAGATCGTGAGAGAACTGAGGAAGGAGCAGGTCTGGAGCAAATGACAAAGGATTTTGTCATCTCCAGAGTCTGGTACACCAGGAATTGTCAGCTCTTGGGCTGGCTCACCTTGGAATAACTTGCAAAATAGTTTCACAATTCCTTTCCCTTCAGGGCATGGGAGGGAGGCAAGACAAGCGGTTTTATCCCTATTTTCCAGATGAGGATAGTAAGGCCCAGGGAGGTGATGCCGTTGGCTCAAGGACACAAGTCATAAATGGCAAAGCCAGTGTTTGAATCTAGGTTCCTTTTTATGAGTGCATGCTCTTTCACTGACATCTCACTGCCCCTGGAATAGCAGGATGGTCGCTTGGGCAAATGTCAGGGTGGGAATTGTCCCTGGTATTTCCCTTCTTTGAACCTCAGGCCTGTGAGTTTTGTCTCATTCTAGATGTCCGCAATTTCCCCTCCATCTTACAGCCTCCAAAGGCCTGGCTGCTGTGGGCTGTTCCCAGTGGTGGTGGGGCCATCAAAGTTGCCACCATACCTGGACAGATGCTTAGTTGGGCCTCCTCATGAACCAGAGACTCACCATAGCAGGCTTGACTTAGGGCAAGAAAGGATGACCCATTCCGCCGACCTTCTAATGTTGACTTCCTACCAGAACCCCCAGAGAGTTGGAGCCCCGCATCAGTTCTGACCCACTTTTGTTTGACTGAGCTGCATAGGGCACTGTCTGCAACTCTGCCAGCTTGCACCTTGAGGGGAAATGAGCTCAATTAAGTAGGTAGGTCCCAGTGAGGCTTTTCTGCAACGCCGTTATTAATCTCATGGACCGTGGAAAAAATATGATCTTGCATGTCTCTGCCCCATTTTCATCCCTGTCGATGTTCAGGATGGAGTATCGCACAAGAGGATGTCTTTGCTGCTGAATTAAAAGGCTAGTTTCCCTCCAGCCAGGATGTGCTATCTTTCTCTCTGCCTCTCTGTCTCTCCCTCTTCCTCCTGCCTCCCTCCAAAGCCCCCAGGACTCCACTCTGAATCCCACCGATTGTCCTGGCCTTGGTTCATGGAAGGGCAGGAGTGTGTTATAACTTTGTTTTCTGAACTTCTGCTTTTTTTGGAACAGAGCAGCACTTTCCAGAGGTGATGCTGGGGGAAGAATTTCTTAGCCTAAGTCTGGACCAGGTGTGCAGCTTGATATCCAGTGACAAGCTGACCGTTGCTTCAGAAGAGAAGGTATGGCATGGCTCTTGGGTGAAACAGGAGCCTCACTCATGAGGTGGTCATGGAGGGACTTGTGGTTCAGTGAGATCTTTTCTCTTTTCAGAGAAAAAAGGAGCTTATTTTTTGTCACTTTAACGTAAAACAAAAAAAACGGGCCTTCTGGCTCGTGACCACTACATTCAATTTCTGGACCCTTTAAAGAAGAAATAATGGTGGTGATGATGATGGCGACAGAGCTGCCTCCATTTACGGAACATTTACAGTTTGCCGAGCACCGTGCTCAGTGCTCTTTGTTGTTGGGTTCGCTCAGCCTTCACCACAGCCCCGTGAGACAGGCATTGCTGTTGCCTCCACGTTACAGATGACGAAGCTGAGACTCAGTGGAGTTAGTTAGCTTGTCCAAGGTCACTGGACAAGCTGGGGTCTACCTGTCACCTGATCTTAACCACTGTCCCACGTGGCCTCTTGTAGTATCATTGAGCATTGAAGCCAGAGCAAACCTCTGAGAACATCTATTTCAATAAGGGATTGGAATTTTTACTGATGAGGAAATTGAGGCCCACAGAGGGGATAGGCACTGCTGAAGGTCACACAGTCAGTGGCCGCGCCAGGACTAAAACCCAGTCTGTTGACACCCAGTCTCCTGACTCACTGGCCACATGCCTCTTCCTTTGTGCCGAAAGCTTGACTTCTGCCCACTGCTTTAGCTGACCTGTGACTGCTGATCTGTCCTACCTCCAGGCCTTCTCTATCGCTGACCCTCTGCTTGGATTATTCTCCCTTTCCGATATATATATCACATCATCTTTATCCATTCATCCATTGATGGACACTTAGGTTGTTAATATATCTTGGCTATTATAAATAATGTTGCAATGAACAAGAGGATGCACATATCTTTTTGAGTTAGTGTTTTTGTGTTCTTTGGATAAATACCCAGAAGTGGGATTGCTAGAACATGTGGTAGTTCTCTTTTTAATTTTTTGAGGAAACTTCATGCTGTTTTCCATAGTTGCTACACCAATTTACATTCCCACCAACAGTACATAAGGGTTCCCTTTTCTCCATATCCTCGCCAACACTTGTTATTTCTTGTCTTTTTGATAATAGCCATTCTAACAGGTGTGAGGTGATAGCTCATGGTGGTTTTGATTTACATTTTTCTGATGATTAGTGATATTGAGCATCTTTTCAGGTACCTGTTGGCCATTTGTATGTCTTCTTTGAAAAATGTCTATTCAGATCCTCTGCCCATTTTTAATTGGATTTTTTGGGGTTTTTTTGCTATTGATTTGTATGAGTTCTTTATATTATTTCCTCATTTATAAAGTGATTTAGTAATAGAACATATTCCACAGGGTGGTTGTGGGGATTAAATGGGATAACGTATGTAAATGCCTGGTATAGTACTTGGTACCTAGTAGGTGCTCAACCAGTGTTAGCTGACTTTATTATTGATCTTGGATCTGGAATTAATTCCTTTCTCCTCTGTGTTCCAGGATAATGCTCACCTTGTTCTGCTTTTTACTGTAGTTGGTTCTGAGCTCATCTTACCTCCTCCCTCCGTGATGGTAGGGACCACATCTTATCTCTGCATCCTCAGAAATGCTCAATAAATGTTTCTTGAATTGTCCTACTCCACTGTTAGTGTCCAAGCTTAGTCTCCAGTAGCTTCAAATGATGGCTATTATCAATGGAATATTTAAGGAAAAGCCCTGGAAAAGGATTTTACATTGGCAGTGAGACTGTGTCCAAAGGCACATGTCCAGAGAATGGGGTGAAATTCACAAGCCCCTGCCTGTCATCCTGCAAAAGTTTGATGAAGGAGAAAAGCAGATATTTATTGGAACTATGGGCTGTCCCGAGACTTCAGAGGGATCTGCAGAAGGTGACTGGCACACCAAGCTGGACTCTCCCTTAGGCTCAGGGAGGCCTCTGCTTCCATTAACTGATGTGAAACTGCACCTCTGGGGGAAAGAATGCCTCTGGTCAGGCCATAGGCCCCTTCCTGCCCCGCCTCAGCAGCGGAGAGGATTCCTTTGCTTCTTGCTAAGTCTGTTTAGTGTCTTCTCTGGATTGTGCTACCCATTTGGCGCAATTTGAAGAAATTCACCAGTCAGTTGATTGGCTGTGTGAACGTTGGGGCAGTTGGTCAGTTTGGGGCTGTTTGAACATGTCCTCAAGCATAGTTTGAGAAAATGGGAGCAGTCAAATAAGCAGCAGGATTTGGGTCAACTTGGGGGTGTTGGGGTTGAGAAGGAAGGACCCTACTACCCAAATTCCTGCTGGCCCATCCTGCTGTGAGATCATAGTAAGCTTTCTTCAGGGGAGGGCTTATCTCTGCTTGCTATGCCAGGGCACGGGTGGAGGTGGCTTGTTGTAGGGAGAGGCATTATAGTGCCCTGGAGACCACTGGGGCTTTGGACTCAGGCAAACCTGGTTCCATGCTCAGCTTGATGCTTACTGGCTGTATGACCTTAAGAAGTTACTGGTCTCTTTGAACTTTAATTTCCTTACAAGTAAAATGGGAATACTAGCAGTACCTCCCTTATAGAGTTGTCATGAAGGTTAGAGATAAGTAAATATCAAATACAGTGTTTGGCAGGTGCTCAATAAAGGGCAGCTGCCATTGTAATTACCACAATCCTCTATTTTGAGGCACCGATGATAATGGCAGTGGTATCAATTTTGCCATTGATAAGGGTAAAGTAAGCCATTGAGTTAATTTTATCTTTCCAGAAACAAAGAAACATAAAATTAAATGTACTCATTTAAAAATTGTCTATAGTGGCTCCTGTTTATTCATATGCTTATGTATGAGCTGCTCTTTCTGTGGAATCAGATTTGGGGTATAGGTATTTTTCACTAATGAAGTTGTGTATCATATTTGGTTCATATCATAATATGTTACTTTGGAGTTATGTGATGCTTTTCAGAAAGCGGATTACTCATGATCTTGATCCCTTTGGTACCTTTAAGATTGGCACTGTAATTTTGAGGCTTGTGGGTTTGGCCTACATTTTCTCTTTGGCTAAGTCCATAGTTTTATTTCCCCTTAATTGATCACATATTGCTGGAAGTTAAATAGCTGGAACCTTTTGACAATTAGATATTTGTCCTTTGAATGCTAGCCCTTTAGGCTTTGAAAATTCTGTGATCCTTCTCCAGATTTGGTGATTTCTACTCCCTTTAATTAAATTGCATACGATAGGCAATCTCTTGTGCGCACAATAGGTTTTTCTTTCAATATTTCATTATAGTGAAATTTTTTGAGCATAATTGAAGTGATATCAGGGATCTTAATTTAAGTTAAAATTTAACTGCATTTAATGTTAACATTTGCAGAAAACTCAACTGAGTCAGTAATCGGATAACCTGTATTTGGCTAAATCCACACTTGGACAGCAGTATCAGCTATATTATGACTTACTTCTCTGCCTGCAGCCCATGGGTTTCTTTCAACATCTATTATAAAATGCAGCCAGATTTCAGGCATTAAAACGTGAAAAAACTATGCATCTTAAAATAGAGGAAATGTGGTATTTTAGTGTTAATGATGATTTAAATGTCAGTGGCTGGGGCCAGGCAACTTGCTTGTTGGGAGTTTGAAAGTATTATAGGTTCTGCAGTAAGAGTGGCTGCTGTTCAAATCCTGGTTCCACTGCTTTAACAGACTGAGTGGCCTCGGGCAAGGTATTTATCTCTCACCAGAATGTGTGCACCATACATAGTCGGGAATTTTGTGTCTTAGGGTCACTGCTGGAGTGGTATCAGGTTCATGGTAGACACTAAAAAAAATATTTGTTGAATGAATGAATAAAAGAACCTCTCTAAGTCTCAGTTTTCTCATCTGTAAAAGGAGGGTAATAGTGTTGTATCTATCTTGTAGAGTTGTTCTGAGGATGAAATGAGATGAAAGTGCTTAGCACACAGGAAGTGTTCATTACTGTAAGATATGATTATTGCTGCTGTTATTATTAGTAGTGGTCCTGCTGCTGCTAGTAGTAGTAATAGTAGTAGTAGTAATGGTTGACTGGTTGACTGGGGCCGTTCTCAAGGGGAAGCTCCTCCCAGAGCCCCAATTGGTCTGAGTGGTTGGCGTGAGCTGGAGCTCGGTGTCTAGCAGGAGCTGAGAGTGGTAGTGGTCTCTTGCCCCTCAGCACTGCCAGCACCCCCAGCCCTGTCTGGGCCTCTCCCAGATACTGTTCTTCCTCCAACATCACTTGCTTTTGCCCATGCCTTATCTCCTTCACTGTACTCGATCTTGAAGGCTGTGCGGGTACCTTAGCCATCTCTGTGTCACGCACAGTGCCTGACACAGTGCCCTGGAGGCACCAGGAGTGCTCAGCACTTCCCTGAGGGGGTGAAGAGGCCAGCTGGGGCTGGACTTTGCCCTGAGCCAGCTGAGGTTATGGGAATAATTTTAACACTTTCCCGGAGAGTAAGGACAAATGTGGGAACTAGAGGTCAGAAAAGGGCATGGATCCTTGCCATTTTTTCTCTTGTTTTTCCTTCATGTAGTTTTTGGTTTTGTTTTAAAATTCCTGTTATTTGAGAGAGCACAAAAGGATTGGTAGGAGTCACAAAATCACTAGATCTTTGGGTAGGACCTTTCCTTTCCTCTCCCACCCTCACCCCTACCCCAAGAAAGAGGGAAGACACAGAGGAGCAAGCCTCTCCCAGTCACCTGATTCTTCTGCATGGGAGGTGATGCAGGGTCAGAGTGAAGCCTGTGAGCAGACAGCCTGTTTCTCGTGTCCCCCTTTGAGGCTCTCACTGTGGACAGCCTCAGTGACCCAGGGGTGGCGGAAGCAACCTTTGGGGACAAACACACTCTAGGAAGAAGAGATGGGACTCCTGAGTTCTAATGTGGTTTTGCCTCTGAATTGCTGGGTACTGGACTTTTCTGAATCTTTGCTTTCTTAGCTGGTAAATATGTTTCTACTTCTCAAGAATTCCATGCCTTCTTATGAAACACTGTTGAGGTTTTTCAGAGTGAAATAGTCCACATT